TGGTTTGGACATGTGCAGAGGAGGGACAGTGGATACATTGGTAGAAGAATGTTAGAGATGGAGCTACCAGGTAGGAGAAAGAGAGGAAGGCCAAAGAGGAGATATATGGATGTAGTGAGGGAGGACATGCAGATAGATGGAGTCAGAGTAGGAAATGCAGAGAACAGGGAGAGATGGAAATCAATGATTTGCTGTGGCAACCCCTGAAAAAGCCAAAAGAAGAAGAATGTTTACATATTATTATAAAAATAAATATAAAAATAAAATTGTTTTTTTTTAGCTCTGCAGTCTGTGTAGTCTCTTATTGTGGCCTATAAACATATGTTCAAATATAACAAACTATTTATTTTTATAATCTAAACCTATGTTGACAGTCAGAAGTCTTTGTGTAAATTTAAAATCTCCAGTATAGCCTACACAACTGCCTGATCTGGAAGAGGATCCTGACATTTATAGCAATGTTTATACAAACAGAAGATCTTTGATCTGATTATAGCCAGCTTGAATAAATATTTCACTGCAAGTAGCTTAACTTGCATTCTCAGCAACAACAGACGTGGGTTTCGCTCGCAAACAGACTTCTATAAGGCTGTGGCTCGTAGAAGAGGTAACTGACCTCTGCAATCTTACATGGGAAAATAATGCAAATGAGACGATATAGAGGGAGCTGCAGTTACAGGAAAAAGCTTGCACAGGAAAATGAGATGCAGAAATACAGAGTGTAGTTCTCGTTTTCTCCCCCCAAACCACAATATTAATTTTCAACATGTAGTAACATAAAACAGTTTGTAGCCCATTTCTCTGTAATGAAGAGGTGGAGATCTTCAACCAAATGTGCGTTTTGGAACCATCTTAACCTTCTCTTCAGACCTGTCTTTTTCTGCTTAGTATGACATCCTCAATGTATGCAGTTGAATTAAAATTGTTCAAATATTTAGTCTTTATGTCTTATTTGACGTGCTATGAAAGTGGAGCCATACTAAAATGCAGCAATTTCTTTACAAAAGAATAAATAAACTGTTGAAAAAAAATGTCTGAACTGTTGTTGTTGTTTTAGCTTGTTGTATTTACTGTCTTTGTGTCAACATAAAAAAAAAGGTCATAAGCTGATTATTTGTAGGTAAAAAATATAAAACCATTGAATTTCATTTGGTAGCAGCCACTGGAAGCAGGTGATCACTGCTTATTGGTGATGGTTGAAAAAATTCCTTTGCACACATTCCTACTTGGACTGCCGCTTTACAATAGAAGTGTAATAATCCATCATTAACTAACTAAAGGCAAAAAGAAACACTGTGGAACTGTGAGTGTGGTCCTATAAACCTAATCCCACAGCTACAGAACACAAAGATTTAGAATACAGTGTGTGTGTGTTTGTGTGTAAGAGTGTGTGTGACTGATTTGGCTTTGTGCTTTTCATTACCTTCTATAGCCCTGCTATCTATAGAGTCACTGTGTGAAGAAAATGCAAATTTACACCCATACAACTACTCGTACTCTGTGAGAGGAAGAGTGTGTTTCAATCAGCTCATCACATTCCAACACATTTGAAATTGGTAAATTAGCTTTGCCTGACTCCTAAAAACTCCTTTCTAAAAAGCAGTGCACTAATGTGAGCATTTTATTATTATTTTTCCCTTGGCGAGGACTTACTTGCTAACAGCAAACAACCAGAAAAGACACAATAGTTACAGACTAAAAACTATAAAAAATAAAATAAATGCAGATATACCTCCTACTTTTTTAAAAAAAACGTATTTGTTAAATCAGCAGTACATATCCAACCTCTCCTGGCCCTGTATATCTGTATTGCTACGAGTATTATCAGTCAGCATTTTGAAATTTCTACACACTGAATACACACACACACACATTAGAAGCACTCTGAGCTTCAACAGCTCAGTTTGGTCCACTTGATTGTGATTTGGATGCACTGGATTAAATACGTACATACATTGCTACTCTTGTCAATACAAAAGCTTTGGTTTTTTACTTAGCAAATATTCATCAGTGTTTGTTTGCCAACTGTAAGTAAACAGAACAACCTTCTGTCCTTCCTTTATCTCCCAGCTTACATAAAAATACCACAGACATGAGTAACACATACTTTGTGATAACCCTGCTACATTCAGATCAGGATCAGTCTAGGTGTGTGAACCTCATCTGAACACCAATTTGTCAAATTATATGTTTCCTAGAGCACAAAAATAGGAGATGACAAAAGGGTGGGAGACAATGAGGTTATTCAACAAGGATGGAAGGACCTTAAGTAGAAAATGTAACCTTTAGTAATGCACTGCACTGCACTTACACTTAAGCAGCTAATTTCTATTGCCCATCAGAGATATGGTGTCCTTGTACGAGATAGAGCCACATGACAAACAGGTTTTATCAGCTGTAAAGTTAGTCCCGGTCAAAATATGTAGCGATAGCGATCAGAACTAATAACCAGTCAAGTGATAAAAGTCTTTATGTAGCCTTTGGACTAAAACCATGCAACACAGCAACCACTCGCACCTACAGTACAGACAAATCAAAACACACAACCACACACCTACCAAAAAAACAGCAGTGTAAATAACAATGGATGACAATCTAATTTTTGCCTTTTCAGTCACCTGATTGCCTCACAACAACCTCTCTATGTAATAATCAGGAGAGGTTTTTTTCTCCTCATATTAGTTTTTCACTTTTTTAAACCATCTTGGTTGAAGTCCTTGTGAATTTGTTTTTATTACTGTCTTGTTTACGGTGTGAATAAAAAAGAAAGAACTGAGGTGAAAATTATTTGTTTACAAAATTAACACCAAGTGCCATCAGACTGACGTTTAACGTTTAGGTGTTATTGTGTCCTCTTTTCTTTTTGTTGTGTTTTTAATTTACATATGCACAAGTTTCTTTGAGTAGCTTTTTTTTCCCTTTAGGTTTAATACATGACTCTATACAACTTTTTTATGTCCGATACAAATACAACATGGAGTGTCTACTGACCCTGTCAACAGAATTTCGTGCAAAGTTGAGCACTTAAATCGGGTCCCTAGCCATGTATTCTTTCTCGCTCTCTCTCCTTCTGTTGTTGAAAGCACTAACTGCATTATTTGTAACTTCAAAAATGCAATGTAAAAAGATCACAGTCATTTTTACTGTTTAGGTTCATCCCTGTGCCAAGAATAGACATAGTCATTGTTGTAAGAGTCTGGCAAAAGGTGGCTGCACTTGTGTGCCTCATTACCAGCCTGTTAGCCTCAGTTAAAGGCTCTGTATGCTATTCAGTTACCTTAGCTTCAGCGTTTACAGTATCTAATCAATGCTTAGTCACTCTGTCTTGAACAATTGCCCTTCCCCCACCCCCTCCTCCACTGATTGGCTTCATTCATCCTCCTCTCCTTACCTTGACCGCAGGGCCTGCCAGGCAGCGTCTACATCAGCATACAGGTTCTTCTCTGAAGGTTTTCCAGAACTGGCCCCGTAACCCGAGTAATCATAAGAGAAGACGTTACAGTTGATCCGTGATCCAAGGCCTATATAGAAACTACTCATTTGGCCCAAGTCCACAGCGTTTCCATGGGAAAATAACAGGGTGTAGCGGGCGCTGGGTGAGCAGCGGACAAACATGCAGGCGATGCGGTTTCCTCTGGATGTGCGTGTCATGAAACACTCTATGGAGTCCTTCTCCCTGGATGAGTACTGCCAGTCCGCACGCTCCGAGAGGTGAAGCGTCCACCTGCTGCCACTCTCATCGCACATAAGGCTGTAGGTGGGATCAGGGGGCAGAAAGGCCAGCTTGGAGGCAATCCTACTGGGACACGGCGGGCAGCAGAACAGGCAACATAACTCACTGATCGACAGGTGATTCATCTTCAGAGAACTGAAAAGAAAATGAAAATGACTAAAACAGAAACAAACACAGTGGGGAAAAGTAAAAAGAAAACCTAACCCTGTATGCATCACTTACTCAGTACTCATCCCATTATTGTTCAAGGGAGGAACTAGAACCAATCCCAGCTGACATGACAAAAGAAGGCTCTACCCTGAGGAGCTCAAAATAAAAAAAGTTTCTTTTCACTAATACACATCTGTTGTCTGAAAGAATTATTAAATGCAATAAAGCTGCTCTGACTTATGAACATTTGTTCTGGGTCTACCTGAGGAGCAACTCTGCTAAAATATTGACTTTAAAGGACTGTTTTATTTCATACTACCCCTCTCACCTAAGGCTAATGTCTAATATTTCCCTGATGCTTCTGGTTTGCAAAAGCCAGAACATGAGAGGTCTTTCCTGACTTGACTTTTGGCAGCACATTGTCTCCCATGGATGGTGACATGAATAACTATTCATGTCAGGTTATGACAATGAAAATAGTATTGCGATGTCAATGATGGTGCTCAATGTAAAACATTAGCACCTGCTATTTCAACTATGCAATAACTGCAAAGCGCAGTGATGCAAAGTTTTTCTTAAACATATTTCACGCACCAGCTGTTGATTAACAGACATTCTGAGGGGCATTTGGCAATTGGTTTTGATAAAAAATAACCCCACTGCTTGGTTTCAGTGTTGGGTGAAACATGATAACCTTTAACTAAGGACAGAGACATCTACAGCCAAATGGACATTCCATTATGGTGATTTAATTTCCTTTTAATGACCATATGAAGTTTGTCACCACCTCAAGTTAAGAAGAAACGTCACAGCTAATTTAAAAGGCATAAAGAAATGAAGAAGCTTGGTAAAATGAAAGGGAAACAAAAGTGTAAAAAAAAGAAAATTGGTTAAAAAACTAAAAAAAAAAGTTCTTAGGGTTTTTTACCGTGTTTTTTTTACATTGTGAGAAGGAGATAACTGCCTCACAAGTCGCAATTAAATTTAAAGCTTATTCTGAGCTTCTCAGTTTAGGTAATTTTCTAATCGAAGCTGAAAAAACAGAAATAGCCTAAATTTTTATTTAAAATATTTAAACTATATATTTTGTACTCAGGAACAACATCTTTGTTAATTTGTCTATTCAAAAACAGCTGCAGGCACCAACCTTTTAAAAACACAACGCAGGCCGATTGATAACAAAAATAGTGCAGACTGACATAAAAACTAACAACACTGGATGTTCCTGTTTCAGCTACTCCAGTCTTTGTGATGTAATTAAGGAATGAAACTGGTTAAGCTGCAGGTTAGTCGTACAGGGAAACTCCATTTACAAATCAGTCCTGACACTTTGATGATACACAGGTGACATTAATTCCACTTAATTACCTGTGTGTCATTCATATCTACTGCTGACTGCACCAAAGAGGACATAAAGTGATTAATACCTTCCAATGTCATATACAGGATGCTGCTGATTTCCACAAAGAGCAGACACGAGGAAAACACATACAGTGGATTCAGTTTGGTTCCTAAAATATCATAAACAGCCCATCATCTATGGAGTTAAGCCATGAGAAAATCTATTTGAAAAATGTGTTGAAGCCAGCACATCCTATAGTGAGAATGTAAGTGATGTGTGTGTGTGTGTCCTTATTTATTTGTTTCAATTTTAATGTATTTTCTGTGTAATCCCCCAACTCAATATTTAAATAAAAAAAAACAAGTAGCAAAAACAAGCACATTCAGCTCTGAATGACGTGGGTCACCCTGTTTACATAATAAATGGCAATCGAAATAAAATGTATTCCTAATCACACACATTTGCTACTGTGTTGCAAGCATTTAATTTATATTATCAATATAATGACAATCCATCCAAATTTTAAAGAAATTTTGCTTAGTCTACCTTTACCAACATTGTTGGCCACATTGTCTTAGATTGGATTATTTATTTGGTTTCGTTTTAGACTTACAAAAATAATGAAAAGGGAATAAGGAGGGTTAACTGTCTGGGTCTTTTTATTATAATTAACCTGCATCACTGAAGCATGCAAAAATTCTGAATGACTACGGCTGTAACTAAGTATTACCCAGACTTCGATGTCTATCGATCAGTTACTTTCTTGATTAACCGATTAATCGAAGTCGTATGTTAAAATTTCTTTGTCGCTGAGAAGAGAAACATTCAAATATTTACATTAAAGTAGTTCTAATATTGGTATGAAAACACTGCAAAAACATGTCCTGGGCATTACCTGACAGCTGCTTGGACGCTTGATTAGTTTTTTCTTCTAATTTAGGATAGGAATATTGGTCTAAGTCGCCTGGTTCCGTTGGTTTATTTGATTCTTGTCGACAAATTGTTTTTTTCTCAACTTCAGTTGATTGACAGGATGATTCTTGTTCAGTTTTTTCTCAGTTTCGCTGCTAGTGCCGTCTGTGAACGATGGCACTTTTTAAATGTGTATTTCCTCCACTCCTTGCAACGCAGCAATCACAGCTCTTCGTCCTCGTCTCCAGACCACAGCCTCCTCAACTGTCGAGTCTGGGTTTTTCCTCACATATGGCCCTGAATGACAACAAGGTTGACTCTTTCAAAAAAAAATCCAAGTCTGGATAAATCAACGACTGCATGAGTTTAATTCATTAACAGCCAAAAAATAACTGTAGTCCCACCAGACGTCTGCCGTCGAAGAACAACTCTGTGACATCACAGTTGTGAGTGTGCTGCTGTTCATTTTCTGGACTGGTAACAAGGGGCGGGGCTCACTATATTTCCTTTTCCTTAATATGGCAGACCAGACCCGTTGTGCTTACATCGCTGCCATCTACGGGCTAGTTTTTGAATAGCATTACGGAATGGTTTTCGTCATTTTAGTTCTTGTCAGGAAGACTTGAGAACAAACCTATTAGCGGCCTTCGAATGCTGCAAGAAAATGTTATTTGTTGCACCTCGCCTGCTGGTCTTTGTTCATGAAGTTCAGAAAATACTCTGTATTTAAAAACGATGCCCCTTTCCAAATATCAAGGAAACATTGAAAGAAAAAGAAAGTTAGGAGAACAAAGTCGCAAATTAATGAAAATATATGTGTAATAATGCGGCGAAAAGTCGTTGTATTTCAAAACAACAGCTATCCAACATAGGCCACAGGCAGTTGAAGCATTCTTCTGGCACTTTCATCTGTCCACCGCATGGTGTCGTGCCACAGCGCGTTTGAGAAAACCAAGTATAATTTGTATAATAAAAATAGATTTTAATTGTGACATTATTATTATTGACTTTCTCCAAGTACATATACATACACATACACATACATACATACATACAGTATAATACATTTTATTCTATAAGCGCCTTTCTGTCACCCGAGGACACCTAAGTAGTAGTAGTAGTAGTAGTAGTAGTAGTAGTAGTAGTAGTAGTGTAATTATTGAACAATTTGTACGTATTTGTAAGTTATACACTGAGGTCATTTTGAGGCATCCTACCACAATATCCGCTGTGGATACGTACTATCTATTTCTTTCAAAACATCAATTAAACAAAGGTACGGATGTATTTTTTAAAAATAATATATAAAAATTCTATTACAAATATAATTTTCTCCCAGTTTTCTTTATTACTTCATCTAGTAATTTTAGATGTTTTTGCTTTAAATTCGGCCTTTATCCTCCGTCTTCAGTTATTACAAAATTAATCGATTTTTTAACAGGACGATTATTAAATCTACTCACATAGCTTATATATTTTTTTATTTCATTTTTTATATATATTTGTGTTTTGAAAGTTTAAAACATTTCACGTCCCGTACCACGAATGACGACATATTGTTACTACTTCCGGGTTAGTACTTCAGGCATGGCTTTAGAACGAGTATACATGTGGAAGTAACCAGAAAATAGTCACAACAGCCAATAAAAGCAAGATTTAAATAAGATGAGTTCTCAGAAAGGTAACGTATCTCGGTCTCGCGGCCAAAAACATCAAAACATCACAGCTTTTAAAAATGACAAGTACGGAGCAACAGTACAAATCAAGGTTTGTCAACACGTCTCTTCATGTGTGAAGCAAGTGTATGCGTGGTTTATCCCACACTTGGTAAACTAGCTTGTTACAACAGCAGTAAAACTTTGTAATGAATGCAGTTCTAACGAAACACAGCAAAGAACTTTTTTGTGCAACAACTCATGTTTTGTGCTGCAATGTAAATAGTTATTGCGATGTAGCAATTAATGGTATGGGTTAATAGCTATTATTGTACTTATGTAATTATAAACCATCCAAATCGACCTCATATCGTTCCGATGTACATTTGTGTGTTTTGGTAACAACAAAGAATGGATTAATTGTGCCTTATATGCTGAGTTTGTCTGTAGAAGCCTACACCTTTGAATGTGCTTAGTGTCTGTTATGTACAGGACCTTTGTTCTGTCCACGTTGTACTTACTGATCACTTTTCAAACTTTTCTTTGTCTTATTTTTACACATTGTTTACCTTTTTATGTGTGATCATAATTGTAGAACGCTAAGTCAAAGATACACAATGGACTCTGTCAACACTGCAAAGATGTTCTTGAGTGGAAAGTCAAGTACAGCAAATATAAGCCTCTTACACAACCAAAAAAATGGTGAGTGGAAATATTAGTTTATATGGATAAATGTGTGTAATCTCATTTTACTGCTTTAACATCTACATTTTGACTGTAATTCCAGTGTGAAATGCTCTCAAAAGACAGTGAAAGATGCCTATCACATTGTCTGTAAACCCTGTTCTCTTCAACTGGAAATCTGCTGCAAATGTGGAAAGAAGGAAGACATCGTTATTCCGTAGGTATTCCTATGCCATTTAGGAGTCCGCAGCAAATTCTAAGTCCACAGTAAACAAGCATGTTTTAAATCCAATGTTACAAAAGTGCTGTTTAGAAATACGAGCAAATCTCTGCCAAGGCTGTACCTGATGAGGTTACAGGATTATATTGTAGTTTGTCCTTTTTTTTCTAAACGAAATTTGGTTAACATTACATCAACTGCACAAATCAGCTGAACTCTAAAGACTCTTCAAAGCTTACTTTTAGAGGTCTCAACCTCAAATGTTCCTCTCATCTGCTAATTTCTAAAAGTAACCCTTGTTCTACACTTATGAAAAGAATGAAAGAAAATGACAGCATCTTCAACTGGGCCTCCTTGAATGAAAAATTTATAAATGGATGGAAGTTTAGACGGCCAGACAGACTGTTCTTAAAGATTGACATCATGTGGAAAATAAAAAATCCATAACTACCGATTATACATTCTCTTTCACATAAACCTGTTGGTTTTCTATTTTGAGAAATGATCTCAGATACCCTTGTTTAGAATGATTAATCACAGGAAGTGAGTTCAAAACATCAATAATATACTATTTTTTGCTAATAGTGTGAACTCGCAACTGGATGATGAACAAGAAGAAGAAGAAGACAAGCAGATGAAGAAAACACATAGAGGACAAAGGAAGGACTTAGACAGTGATGATGATTTTGATGATGATAGTGACATCGATGACCTGGATGGTGAGGATGATTAAGACCTTGCTCATGACTCAAAAGGAAAAACATCACATGGAAAAGGGAAGAAAGACTTGGACAGTGATGGAAATGGTGATAAAGATGATGGTTGTAACAAAAGTGCTAAGAAAAGACAGAACAATTCTTCTGTGCTCCCAGATGTGTCAAATGTTAATCTAAAGGACTAAAACCTGCATGGTACATTTGGATTTAATTGTAAATGTACCTGTATATTACTTTTTTTTTAGTTCAAATTAACTTTCCTAAAATGAGCAAATTAAGTAAAATCTCATTGCAAGTTTGATACTGAGTGATCTCATTTCTTTTACCAACTGGTTGTTGAAGCTCACCTGAATTATGATGATCAATCATTAGATCAATCATGATCTAATAAAAAGCTTCAAATTTAATCACATTACACTGTCATCCTGTGGCAAGATGTTTAGTTATCTGGAAAGGAATGTTTCCAAAATTCGAGTCAATAAACCGTCAACATACCAGTTTAATTTACCAGCCTTAAATCTTCATAAGTCAGTGAATGGTTTCACAATGGCAACGCCCGTCTGTTTTTCACAAGGTGAGGTTTGTATTAAACATGTTATGACGTGACACTTGTTACCATCATGACTCCAGCTAGTTACACATCACCACTGACAATCTTACAGTGCAAGTTTTGATTAATAGCTAAATGGCAAATTTGTTTTGGAAGGGGGGTTGGAACAACTGTCCATTTCGATGGGATAAATTCAGGCAGACTTGCTGAGCGACCAGTTAAGTTTCCAAATGTTTGTTTGATCCATTAGCCCTTTGACTACCTACTTGGAAAGCGGCAACGAGCTACTGTTAGCTAGCAAGTGAAGCGTTGGAGACCCCTGGTTTAGATGTACATGAACTGAATATGAAACATTTTCTCAGCAATAAAAACTAAACAGTTTAATTGATAACTCACAACCACAGCATGTTTTCATATAGGTTTCAGAGGAATGCTGAGCTAAGGCATAATAAAGCTAAAATTATGTACATGTGATCAATGAGTCAGCAAAGTTGACATCAACACAACATAGGAATAAAAATAAAAATAAATGTTATTGTTTCAAGGGTTTCTTTTTTTAGCTCCCTCTTCCTTTGTTACTTTGTTCTCATTTTCTATGGAATGACTTAACATCAAGCACAAACACTCACTGCTACTGCCAAGGGCATTATAAACTTTTTTTTAACTAATAAAAATTCATCATATTTAAAACATCTCCCATAAACAGAAAATCTCACTGTATATAACACAAAGACAGGCAAAGTTTCCACAGCCATTAATTGATCAGTCACAAGCTTACTAAATGTCATCGTGCATGTAATCTGGAAATTACACAAACTCTTACTACTTGACATGTGCGTCATTGCAAATGTTTGTTCTGATGTCATTTATATGGGGCGGTGGTGGCTTAGTGGCTAAGGAAGCAGACTTGGGTCTAGAAGGCTTCAAGTTTGAGTCTACCAAGTTACCACTGAGGTGCTCTGAGCATGAAACCATCCCCACACACTGCTCCCCGGACAGTTTAAAGCTGCCCACTGTTCACTTTGGTGATGGGTTAAAAGCAGAGGTCACATTTGGTTGTGTGCAGTGGTGTGCTGTGTCACAATGAAAAGGAGTTCACTTTCCTTCCTTCCTTAATAATGTGTTGTTTTAATATTTTATTAGCACAAATAACATGTAGCTACACTGAGAAGTGTGAGCTCCTAATGATTTTATATAAAACAAGAACCCCAGTGTTGACTATGACATGACAAACCCTTAGATCATTTTAACTTTATTTAGAAGGTCAATGTTCAAAGTTTAGCTTTGGGTTAAACATGTTCTGTGAAGCTGTGCACCTCAAGCTACAGCAAATAAAAAACAAGCCTTTACACAAATACGGTTGTGTTTGATTAAAGAGCTGTTTGATTATAGATAGATAAATAGATAGATAGATAGATAGATAGATAGATAGATAGATAGAAAAAGGATGATTTTAAATGAGAAATTATATAAGTGCAGAAATTATATATATGAGCAGAAAAATACAGCAAAACAGTATTAGCTAATTAACTAATTATTAGCTTTCAAAATTCGTAGGTAATGTTTCTTTCCGAGAACGGTGTGCGTGCACGACAGCGCGCGCACACCCACTGTGTTCTCATTGGCTACAGACTTTCTTTGCTGTCCGGTGAAGTCGTGACTCCTGCTGCGTACCAGTGACAGTGTGCTGTGGCTGCTGTGTGAGCAGGTGACTCTGTTTTTCTGTCTCGCTCTTATTCGGCTCCATTCTGCTGCTAGTCTACAGACGACATGGAAAGGACCCACACAACCACCGCCGCGATGAAGCACGTCTTCAGGGGGACGTTTATCCACTCCACCCAGCAGACACCGGTGGAGATCCTGGAGGACGCGCTCCTGGGAGTTAACGCAGATGGAAAGGTTATCTAGTCTTTAAAGTGTAACTTAACCAGGTTTTAAATTGAAGTTAAATGTATTATTAATAATAAATAATAATAATATTGTTGTTGTATAAATACTTACTAACCCCAAGACGCAATTGGGCACAAATGGCACATGTTTTTGTTTAATTTTCTGACTTTTCTGACTGCGTGACACTGTCATCATACCTATTTTTTGAAGAACAGTACTGTCAGAGGTTTACAGTCTCTTGAATTGATTTAAAGAACAATCTAAAACAATCTAACAACAGGATCCCAAAAAGGTCATGACAGAATGTTCTTGGGGCACCTATATTTCATATATGGATGTAACACACATTAAGTTTGTAGTATAGGACATTTAAATAAATATTTTTGGAAAAGCCAAATGCAGACTTTAAAGAGAATGTGCTATTGTTATACCCATTTTCAATAATAAGATTTAGTGGTAATTGTGATATACAGTTCCAGTGATTTTTATTGTGACATTAGTTTGACTGTGTAAAGTCACTGTACAGTAGTGTGCTGGTGAATTTCCTTAAATACGTCCATCTTCTTAAAGCGTGCCGCTGTAGGAAGATCATGGACAAAAGGCTGCATCTATTTATGTTTATATATCAGATCAACTACCAAACACTTGCTAAAGTTATAATCACATTATGGGTCACAATGTTTATGTCTGGATCAAATCATGTGTGTTCCAGAGGCAATATACACTGGTATTTAAACTGTAGACAGTATCAACCTTTATTTTTTATTATTTTTATTTAGGTTGTGAAGTGTGGCTTCTATATGTTTATTGAAATAGAAATCAGTAAAGGGTCAAAGCCAAACCTTTTTGCAGGCTGAGACAACACAAGCAAGATGTTCTTATTTTAGTACACAGTAGTGATAATTGACACCTAATTTTTATGATGCCATTAGGTCGCTTTTATTGCCAAACCAGAAGAGCTAAATAAATTGTCAGAGACATTTGGATTTACGCCGGCTGAAGTCACTCACCTAGCACAACAGTAAGTATTTACATACATTCAGTAAGACCTACATTCTTTATTCAAAACCTTTAGTCTTTAGTCTTCGTTGCTAAATATGTGTATGCTAAAAATGTGAAACAAGATATGTTTACAGCACCCCCTGCAGGAGAGGTGTGGGATTTATATTTGTAAACAGTATGTAACATGTTCTTTAAAATCTTTTTTAGTTTTGAATGCAACCATTAAACTCTGTTTTATTTTTAATTGTTGCAGTGAGTTCTTTATGCCAGGAATGGTCGACACCCACATCCATGCACCCCAGTACAGCTACGCTGGTACAGCCCTGGACATGCCTTTACTGCAGTGGCTCAATACCTACACCTTTCCTGCGGAGTCTCGCTTTAAGAGTTTGGATATTGCCAACGAGGTCTACACTCAAGTAGTAGTGAGTTCACATTTATATGAAAAATAAACTGGCTTACATAAGAATACATGTGATCGTCATGATGTCCTCCCCTAGAACTGTAACTGTTTGGCTAGCTTTAATTGGTCTTTCATACATTTTTAGCTACTTTATGGCTAAACCTAATTTTGGTCAATCATTAACTGCTTTGGCTTTCATTTAGCCATTGATCATAAAGCTGTCTTTTATCTGTGACTCAACAACATTTTACATTTCTGGTTATATAATAAACCAACTTCAGACTCCTGAAACAACATGCAAAACCTAGCCAAATACATGGAAATTATTGTGCGTGATACAAAAGTCCTGTTGAATAATTTTCACACTTTTTTAAAGTCAATTTATGTTCTACAGCTGAAATAAAACTAATATTCTGTCCTTAGTCATCATTATGTACAAAGCTGACCTCATGGAATCCAACAAAACAAGCACAACTTGAAACCAGTTCTCTGTAAGATGTTCAACAATTACATTACAAGGTTAGGTTACTATGGTCATTGTGAATTTGTATGCATAACATCATCATAATTAAAATTCCTCTTGTAGTTAAAAAAGTGATTGTTCAAGAAGTGATTGGGGTTTTTTTCAAAATTAAATGTCTGGTGCTTTGTGCTTTAAGAGTCCTTGCGTGTAATTGAGTGACACATCAACAATGCGAGTGCAGCACTAGTCTCTGACTAACACTTACTGTAATGCTACAGGAATTTAGTGACATTTGAAACTGTGGATTTTAAATTAGTGGTTTCCTTGAAGCTAGATTCTGGCTGTTAGAAAGGACTGTGTATATCTAAGCTGCCTTTTGCTGCTGTATGAACAGCTTAAAGAGTTTTTGAGTGTAAAAAGGAATAAATGATGTAAATGGAAAGAAGACGTATATATGACATATATAACCAAAGTTTAATCCTGTCATATGATCACTTTGTCAAAGAAAAGGACCCTGAGAAATGGAACCACCACCGCTTGTTACTTTGCCACCATACACACCGATGCTTCTCTTCTGCTGGCACAAATTACAAGTAAGACACCATGCACTAAAACACACACACACATAAACACACATATACAAATGCAGACCATCTCAGCTTTTAGGTTGTGACCCAGAAATGTGTCAGTGAGTCAAATCAAATGAAGAACACACTTTCCCATGTCATTCTGGCTCCTCATTAGTATTGTGGTAAGTGTCAAACGGGAGATATGTGTTAAATTCCCTGACGAGGAGAACCACTGTTGGATCAATAAAGGACTTCTTATAATATCTTATTTATTGCAGAAAGCTTACATTAACAACAACCAGGAGCCATTCGTTTAATGCTGACAGTGTCATTACGCCACCTATGTTGCGTTATGATTCGGTGACTTTTAGTACAAGAGAGTGATCTATAATGTTGCATTACTGACTTTATGTCATGTTCTTATCATCCAGCACACACACATGTACTGACACTGGCACAGTGAATTGAGGACAGTCACTCAATGTTTCATACTGCTGTCATCAGGTCCATCGAACCTTCACCTTTGCTCTGTTCTCAGTAGCTTTTTCATTTCGTACATACGTAACTGTTATTTTTCTACGTGATCATAAAATTGATCATAAAGCTGTATATGAGTACAGGTCAACAGAAAATGTTTCTGCCGTTGTCAGATCACACACTGTTTCTGTCTAAGGTCCGAAGGAGAAATAATACATGTCATCACCATTATTAATAATTAACACGCCTCCACGAAACCACACCTGTCTGTTTACAAATCACTTTTTACCTCACTGTGGATTTTGGCCTCTTTATCAGACCAGGTTTTGTCCCTCTGTTTTGGTTGGTATTTTTTTAATTTCTTCTTTTTTGGCAACCTTTTTGTTGACTTTTAGCTACTGACTTTAAGCTTTGTTTACATTGAGCTATAGAGGAGTAACGGTATGGGATGATGAAGTAATCAAAGTCAAGTCAACATTGATTTTAATTGTCTTTGAGCGTTAACTTCTTAGATAAACAGACAGAATTAGCTTCATTCTTCTGGTTCTTGCAGATGACTTTGGACAGCGTGCCCTGGTGGGTAAAGTGTGTATGGACAAAAACAGTTCATTGAAACATTACAAAGAGACCATGCAGGAGTCACAGGAGGAAACCTGTCGGTGAGTTTATTCTGTTCTAGGACCCTTCGTGCGTAAATACTTTAACATATAGGCTGACATGCAGTGTGCACACTGTTCAATCCAAATCACAGTGAGGATGCTGATAATTATTTCTTCCTCATTAACAGAAGGCTGTTTCAAGGCAAAAGGAAATAAAACACCTCATCTATCCAGTGTGCCGTTAAATTGAGAAAAGCTTATTCAGCAAAATCTTCAGGCATTTTGTTAACATGCGTGCAATAATGTGTAACAGAACAAATCTAACAGTAAATCTGTATCCCGATATCAAAATACCTCCAGACTGCTGACTTCGTTGACCTACATACATAAACTACGGCTGAGGGCAAAGAGATACTGGACTACAGTAAGAAAATTATAACTAGTGGCTGACCAGAGCATAGCTGGTTATATTGACAGGCCAACATAAAGTATCAGGTCGCTGATACCACATACGTCGAGTGCAATACAAGCGTGTATGAGTATTTGCTTAAATTTCCTTTTTAGAGCTCACTGTCTTTGAAAAGTCTAATACCGATCAGTGACCTCCTCTTCCTAACAGTAACCGTTTACTCCCTTTAGGTTTATTTCAGAGCTCCTAAACAAAAAGGTAAGATACTTTTAACTAACCTATTTCTGAATCCCTGCTTGAATCAAAACTATGTTTATACCCAAGCTCACTTATTTGATTCTTTTTCTGTTTTGTGGTTGTGTTTATGTTGTGTTTTCTGTCTCAGTATCCCCTAGTGAAGCCAGTAGTGACTCCACGCTATGCTCTGTCATGTACAGGAGCCCTGCTGGGACAACTGGGAGCAATTGCTAAGAATAACCACCTGCATATTCAGGTGAGCTCGGCGTGGAAACCAAACCAGGCTGGGTCACCGGGGGATTGTTGCCACATAGTTTGTTTATAGTGATGGGCCCGAGGGAGTAGTGGACAATGGAAAGAGACAAGACAAATGCAGGCTTAAAACTTTGAAGGTTGATATTGTAGAAAGAAAACTTATTGCAGAGCAGAAAGATACCTAATCAGGAACGGCTCCGTAGGAGCGTCACGAAGGATGAGAGTGATTTTCTGTATTCTGTGAAATACTACAATTTGTTAACTTGACAAATAAGCTGTATTATTTACTGTATTAGAGCAATAGGATGGTGTTAGTACTTAGTGCCTTAAAGCAAGAAGGTCATGGTTTGATCGCCATTGTAAACTTTCACAGACTAGAAACATGGAGCATTAAGATAATTAGGTTAATTAGGTTAACACTCTATTGACCTCACCAGGTCACTGCTGGATATAGCTCTATCTACTGCTACTGTATTGACAGGAACTTAGCTGTAGGAGACCAATTAATGAATAAATGAATGAACGGCAGTGTTAAGATAATTCCAGACGTTTTCCTGCACTAGGAATTTTTTTGATAAATACATTTTAGCTCAATAAGTCACAACTCTTTCAAAATAACTAAATAACATTTTTTTTACTGTGTTAATTTTCCAAGTTAATTCCTGTGTCTGTTTCCAGAGTCATATCAGTGAAAACTTAGATGAAGTGAAACTGGTGAAGGAGCTGTTTCCAGAGTGCACATCTTACACTGATGTCTATCACAAACATAATCTGCTGACGGACAAAGTGAGGGCGCTGTAAAACTCTGTTTAAACAAAAGATTGCTTGGATCAATGTTGAATTTACGTTTAACTGGTTGATCCACAGACAGTGATGGCCCACGGCTGCCACCTGACTGATGAAGAGTTGGATCTGTTCAGAGAGACAGGAGCCTCTTTGTCTCACTGCCCCAATTCTAACATTTCGTAAGTAACCGATTTGACCCACTCAAGATCGTGACAAAGCCCTTCGATGTGAAGAGACAAAACTTGCCAGCATGGTTCAACAGTGGCTTTAAAAAAGTAGAATTAAAAGTGAGGACCTATTTTTGGGTCACAACCTACCATTTGATTAGGCTGGTTTACAGGAGTCCAATTATAAAATAATTTAATGACATCTCCTCCTCTCTCTCTCTCTCTCTCTCTCTCTCTCTCTCCCTCCCCTCTCTCTCTCTTTCTTTCTCTCTCTTTAGATTGTGCAGTGGTCTGTTGAATGTTCGTAACGTCCTCAACCACAAAGTGAAGTTGGGGCTGGGAACAGGTAAGCGCAAAGACAACATCAGAAAATATAATTTTGGTCAAATGACTCAGTAGTAGGGTTTGTTTATAATATAACATATAATACAGTATGTAAATCATACATGCAGCTACAGTCCTGTTGTGTCAGACAGAAGTAGTTTCACAGATCTGGTATGGGTCAGCTGACATCCATCAGCTGACTATGTTACATTTATAATTTATACAAAAGTGGACCATATTTCATGTCCAGCTCATGCTGAATTGTTTTATATTGATCAGATCAAACTTGAAAATCTGGAACTGCATTTTAACATAAGGCTGTAAAATGTATTTTTGTGTCTGAATTTGCCTGACCTCTCTTTGTTTCTGATACTACCTCAGACATTGCTGGAGGCTACTCAGCGTCTATCCTTGATGCTGTGAGGAAAACATTGGATGTATCCAAGGTCTTGACCATTCTGGAGCCAGAAAATGACGTGCTAACATTTGAGGAAGTCTTCAGACTGGCTACACTGGGAGGAAGTCAAGGTGAGACAGTGAAAACAACCATTTTGCCAAAACAGTGCTCAGTGTTTGTGTTTACGCTTACCATGGTGGTCTAACTGCAACAGTAGTAGCTATGGGTACAACCATAATGGCTAATTACAATTGAACAATTGAAGGTCAGTGAACACATGGCTTTTTCTGTCTGTAGCCTTGTCCATAGATGACCACACAGGGAACTTTGTTGTGGGAAAAGACTTTGATGCTCTTCGGGTAAATGCAGCTGCTCCTGGTGGGCCCATCGACATCATAGACTGTGAAGGACCAAAGGTTGGTGAATTTGATTAGATGTTTTTTTTCTCTGCAGACTCACCATGTTCTTTCTAATACAACTTGTTGCTACATGAAACAAAAGGCAAACCCTTTGCTTGTGTCTAAGTTATACTGCTGTAGGCTTAGACCGCTTTGGGAAACCTGCACAGTGTAAACAGTCTTCTTCTTTTTCTTTCGGCTTTGACCCTTTTTTTCAGGGGTTGCCACAGTGAATCATTGATTTCCATCTCTCCCTGTTCTCTGTATCTTCTACTCTGACTCCAACTATCTCCATGTCCTCCCTCACTGCATCCATATATCTCATCTTTGGTCTTCCTCTCTTTCTCCTACCTGGTAGCTCCATCGACCAACATTCTTCTACCAATGTATCCACTGTCCCTCCTCTGCACATGTCCAAACCATCTCAATCTGGCTTCTCTAGCTTTTTCTCCAAACCTTCCTGTCTGTGTTGTCCCTCTAATGACCTCATTCCTAATCCTGTCCATTCTTGTCACTCCTAAAGAGAATCTTAGCATCTTTAACTCTGCCACATCCAGCTCCGCCTCCTGCCTTCTGCATATTGCCTCTCAACCATTCCCTTCACCTTAGCTGACACTCCTTTTCCAAATTACATAATTTATTTATACTTTCATTATACACCTGCCTTTCCCCTGCAATACCCACGTTTCCCTGATAGATGGCGCCCTAATGCGTGACATTTATCTTAGTTCAGGCGGACGTTTTATCTATCTGCTCCTGACCCAGTCCCCCTGTTCAATTTTAGGACCAACTATGGTCCACGAGCCAAAACGTTTGCCCACACCTGAGGTAGATGATTTGCAATTCAATAGCATCAACCAATTTGGCTGAAAAACTAGCTATTGTTTTTTACAACTCACACAAGTTACACATAAGCTATAAAAGAAAGGAAAAGAATAATTGAACCTTAAAATCCAACAAAAGTCAACTTTAAAGGTCCCACGTTACCAGGGCAGTGTCGCTGAGGTTTAGGAGCACCACCAGTTTCCTTCAAGTGAGCTGTATTTGCTAGATTTTATAGATGGTTGAGTGGTGCTAGTCTTTTAAAAACAATGTTCTTACTATTTTGGATTATCAACAGAATAAACCAAAACATTTTTTATTAGTAGATTGACTGATTGTTTTCATAAAGACTGAAATGTATTTAATAAACTTTCACACTTCTCGTCGAAAACAACAGTTCTGCTACTTTTACTTGGAATGCCGTCAGCACGGCTCCAGGTGCGGTAATGTTTTCTATTTGGGCGAGACTGAAATCTCTAAATTCTTGGATGGATCACTTTTATTCTACAAGATGGAACTGAATGATTTTCTTCTTTCCTCTGACATGTTTTATTGCCTGCTGGTGGCAAAACGTCCACTCAGCTGCGAAATATCAGCTGTCAGCAATCTGATGAAGTGCTAGATGTTTTTGAACAGACAAACTCCACAGACCTCACACCCTAAACAAACAAAAAGTTTAGTGAAAAACACTGTGTAAATGAAAACAACGTCAACAGAATGTGTGTAAATCAAGAAGAAAATAACCCTGCTGTTTTTTTTTTACTTTCTCTAGATGAGCATTACAGTTCTCAGTTGTCCACAGCCAATGGTGATTTTCTGTAATGTCCCATAAATTCATAAGGAATGTCTTGGTCCATAATTGCAATGTAAGACGTTAAAACATATTTCATACAGGAACTAGTTGGCAAGCAGAGCGGACAAATAAAACATTACATTACATTACATTTACATTTGCCGATTGTATGCAATACATTGGATTGCTTTCTTCGTGTTTTTTTAATTATTATTTTTTATCGCGCTTCAAAGCGTGAGTCAGACTCTTCTGATGTTTTTTTGTTTGAGATCAGGCATGGACAAACATTTTGACTCTCGGGCCTAATAAAGGCCTAAATGCTACAATGCTTTTATAATTTTCTACGTCATCTATTGGGGAAACGTGGGTATTGCAGGGAAAAGGCAGAAGTATAATGATAATAGAAATAAACTATATAATTTGGAAAAGTTTGGTGGGCCGGATTAAAAAGCTGAACGGGCTGCATCCAGCCCCCGAGATCTTAGTTTGCCCATGCTTGATCTAGATTATGATATTAGTGTAGGCGAGTGACACAGGTACTTGTGGTGGGTACTTATACCTTTAATGATCAAAGCCAACAGTAGATATTGTAAAACAGCTTATTTCAATAAAGGGACAAGATTTAAGAGTTTTACTATTAAAATAGAAGAATGACACTCAATCCAAACACTCATCTTGTTTTTAAATAGGTTTTGTTTGAATAAGAATGCAAATGCAATGAGTTTGTATTTTTAAGATGTGTCTCTGGTTTGATTTAAAGGCACAATCTTTCAGATTTCCGATGACCAAATCTTAGTTTTGTTTTTCTTTTCTTTTTGCTCTGTGCACCTCAATAATTTTCAGGGGTACAACTGAAAGGCATTAGATTTTTGGTCTTGGAAATTCAGTTCTCTACTGTTCCCTGTCATTGTACCTACATTCAGAGTTCCAAACTTCAGACTAACACTTCTATTCTTCATCTTTTCTCGTTTTCTCCTAACCAAACACCCTCCTCTTCTTCTCTGTCTCTGACCAACAGTAGTCCAATTTCCATCAGTGCCCTGTTGGTCAACAGCACTGTTGGCGGTCGTTGTTAACCTGGGCCTTGACCGATCCGGTATGGAAATTGTTTTAGTGATTCGCATATTTGATTTAGCTAAACGTTTTACGCCGGATGCCCTTCCTGAGGCAACCCTCACCATTTATCCGGGTTTGGGATCAGCACTATAAAACACTGATTCGTGTACCCTAGTGGCTGGTTTACAGTGTAAACAGTGGAGGAGTTAAAAAAAAGTTTGCTTGTTGCTTTGTGCTTACACATTGTACAATATGTTGGGCTATCTATTTATATAATTATAAATGTTGTACAGTTTTCACAGTTTATCACAGCTGTTCCTACAATTACAACACGACATAACTAAACATGCTGACAAAGATAGCAGTGCAATAACAACGGTTAGCTGTCATCTTGGGTCAATATTATTGATAAAACATTTTTTTAACAGTTTAGTTTTCTGTTTCCAAGCTCCATTTGGACGGTCTATTCTTCTGATGGGTTGATGTCTGTAAGATAAAGACAGTTCACTGAAATGTGAATGTAATGTCAACACCTGTTTTATTTCTGTTTGCGCTTGTATTAGCATAAAAATTGTGAGTTTTTGCAGCAACTCTGAACTTTCTTCATTTAAATTTCAGGTTTTGTTGGAGAAATTCCTCAATTTGGGTGAGTTTTTTCCTTTAGCCCACGTGACGTCCCGACATAATTTCTGTGCTTCACACATCTACTTCATTGTATTTCTCTGTATTTTTTTGTGTGTTTCAGGTGATGACCGTAACATTCTGGAGGTGTTTGTTGCTGGGAGGCGGGTCGTACCATTTACGTACCAGGTCGTGTAAACCTGTGTAAAGCCATTTGTCCATCTCACAGCATAATGTTTTAGATATGGAAGACATGATTAGTAAATTAAGGATTTTAGGTTAAGATGTTTTACCTCATGATAAGAAGGGACAATGAAAGACTGAATTTACTTTTGAAAAACAAAAATTTAGTTCTTTAAAAACTTGTTTAGTAGCTGTCAACAGCAAAACAAATGTCCATAATGCTGACAAGATGAATGAGCATGCCACAATGACTGCAAAATACTAAATATCTTTCAGCTAAGTACTTAGCTGAAAGATATTAGTTTTTCTTACCTGCAGTTGACAATGGTAAAAAAAGAACCTGTGTGTCTCCAGTGGTGGTGCAAAGAAATCTTAATTATCATTTAGCCTATAACTGTTTTCACTTAGAGATGCACTTATGAAATATAGTTGTTGTTGTTGTGTTTTTATTTTGTCTGTCTTTTTATTTTCTGACACAAGCCATGTCCAAATTCAGGGTCTGCAATTGCATTGCAATTAGCATCTTTAAATTAAGGAAATGTAAAAAATTAAGACGGAAGAAATTAAGAAAGTGTCTCTCAGCGCACCCTCTAGGGGTGATCTAATCCTACGTGGAAGGTTGCGGCTAACTTTTAATGCTGTTGTGTCTTCTGCCTATTCATTTTTTCTTACCACCGTTGCCAAAATGTTTGTGACTTATCCTGCTTTGCTATGAGTAGTTAAACCTGGTATAAAACATTGACTGTATACACATTCCCCCATTTTCCCCTGTAATGTTTTTAGAAGGATAAGTACTCAAGTACTTAAGTATCGAGACAAATGTGTTTTGTGAATTTGGACTATACAAATAAAATTGACTTGTCAGACTATTAAACGTCTGTTGTTTGTAGGCCAAGACAAAATAAATAAAGGATGAAACATATATAAATTGGGACACAAGTGTCATCATGTAACATGAATTCAGTTTGAAGTCTTGGAGATATTAATGATAATAGGGAAAAAAGGAAGTCAGGGACATTTTTTAGACCTATGATGTAGATTTGCATGAGTTATGTCAGGAAAATTTTTCTGTTAGATAGGACTGAAAAAATGCTGTTAGTTCATACCCCAGTTTCCTAACACACAAAGAATTCAAATAAAGATCAAATAAAGATCTGATCAAATAAAGAATCAAATATGAGATCTCAAATTTTAAAAGTTTTACTTGCAAGCAAGGAGAGCAGAACAACGGTTACATTCAGAACTTTCCGATGATATCGGAATATGCAGCGTCTTACGCCACTGTGCATATTCAGAAATTCACACGTTAGCCAAATCTGGCATAAGTACTCGCAGCCAACCCTTGCCTTTGCAGTTATGAAGTGCTATCACAGCCATGGTCTCTAGTATAGTTGCAGGATATGGGGCAAGTTTTCGGTTATGACGTGCATGGTGTGGAACAAAAGAACAAACATAACAATCAGTCAAATTACGTGCTGCTGCTGTGTAATTAGCAACCTGAAACCAATGATTGTCCTCATGGTCGTGATTGTCCATCAAAGCTCTCCTAAGTCTCAGTGGATGAGATAAGTTGGTCTGAAAATAAGATTCAGTTCCATTCATGTTATCATTGTCTATTCCTTTTTGGTATTCCCACCACATAATTGGAAACACAATAATGAATGCGATAAAGGTGAAGAAACATAATGTCCCTCTTATTCCACACAGTCCTAGTTGCCGGAAGGGATGCCAAGGAGTCATTTCTGATACACACTAGGGGGTGTTCTACCCATTGGTTTCTTCACCCGGGTTGAGGCGATCACTGCGGTAGTGACAGCTACATTACATTCGCTGCATACACCTAATGAAAGCACAGACAATGACTAAACAATATTGTTGATTTTGTGATTTGTTTAGTTCAATATAGTCCATGTGTAGATGTTTAAAGGGTTCCTTTGGCATCAGAAATGAGCCTTGTCTTGTTCTTACAGCTCCTTGAGCATTATGTTTTAAACTGATTATACACTGTTGTACATGCTTCTGTGCAGCTTTTTGAAAAATTTGAACAGTAAAAAACTTGTTGTACTGCTCCAATCATCCCTGCTGTTGTCACATGGCACTGCCCATGGGACACATGTGCAGCCCAAGAATAGAGGGACGGTGGCAGTACCGGTTTACCTGATGGAGTATGAAATAAAATACCATTTTCAGATTTAGTCATATCAGTAGTAGGTTGCATAAGAGATTGATGTTGTAGAAGAACACTATTGTCAACCTGATGTGTCGACAATAGATTAAGAGCCACATCAGTCACATGCTGTCCAGTAGCTATAGCTCTAGCAGTACAGTCTGCTAAGGCATTGCCCAGGGACACAAGATCAGTTTTAACGGTGTGTGCCGGGCAATGTACAATAGCTAAAGCTGAAGGAAGAGAGAGAGCACGGCATAAGTCTTTCAAAAGATGAGCATGCTTTACTGGACTGCCAGATGATGTGGAGAAATCACAAAGATGCCACATAGCTGTGTGTGTGCGGCAAGCATTAAAAACATATTTACTATCAGTGTAAATTGTGACTGGAAAACCGGAAGCATAGTGGAACGCCATGTACATAGCTTTTAGTTCTGCTGCTTGAGCAGAATAAGAAGATGGAAGTGTGAAAGTCTGAACGGTCCTTGACCTCACATCAGACACCATTACCTTTTTTATTCTATTCTATTCTATTTTTGACTTTCTTCAGTCACGGTTTTTCAACCTATTCACAAAACGTCTGAACGGTCCCTGACCTCACATCAAACACTAATAGATTTACGTCTAACAGGTCCCAGACCTCGCATTAGACACTATTAGTTTTAGTAGGAAAGTCTGAACGGTCGCATCAGACAACATTACCTTTTTTTCAGGACCTACTATTGTATTTTTGACGTCACGGTTTTTCAACCTATTCATAAAACTTTGCGTGTATTATACTCACTTCACTGCGCACAGTAATTATTTAT